AGATGTAACCTAAAATTTATTTAATTGTAGAAAGAAAACAAATTCGGTGACGCCATGTTTTCTTTTTATTTTATGGTCATATTTTATTTAAAAATTCTATTTCATAGATTTCTTTTATTCACAAAAATGTGTTTTTACATGAACAATCTATGCAAATTTGGGCAATTTATCCACGACTTGTAGTTAAATAGCACAGCGACCCTCACTTTTATTATAGTTGTGAAAAAAATATCTTCGTTTTTGCAAAGTATAAGAACATTTTATCTAAGAAAATATATACCGATGATCGACCTTTAGTTAAATATTTCGTCTCCTTTAACTTGGACAACTGACAAAATAAGAACAAACCGTAAAAAAAAATACCAGAGTTGAAAAGATCTTGACACCCTAAATAGACACAAACAACAAATAAATGAAAAACAAAATGTACAGATGTTTAGAACTCAGGAGGTGACTGTAAGCCAAAATCAAAGTCAATTTTAATTAACAATTTATCACCTTTTTAGTGAGGGTTTAAGGTAGATCATAGGTATATGTTTCCCCGAGATAGAATTTTCTTATACTTTGCCAAAATGAAGATTTTACTATGCTCTTTTCAAAAATATAATAAAAAAGATGGGTTACCGTGCTATTTTTCAAGCTATGAGTCGTTGAAAATTGACTAAATTTGCTTAGAATAATCATGAAAAAACACATTTTTGTGCATAAAAAGAAATCTATAAGATAGAATTGAAATAAATTGTGAGAAGATGGGTTTTATATTATGTTTTAAGAAAATAAAAAAGAAAATATGCCCTTTTTTCTTGGAACTCGCCAATTTGGCGAGCAGCTTTTCATTTCAACTCGCGAAATTGAAATCCCACTAGCCAGCTTGGCGAGTTTCAAAAATTTTGAACTCGTACGTTATTGTATGTAATAAACATTTTTAGAAATAGCTTTATTCTAGGTTTTAATACTTATATATTAGGTTGAAGGTTTTTATGAAGTATCTGTGATTTCATTTTTTCTTTGACAGTTTTTATGTATTAATTTTGTTCAGTGACTTCCCATTCAGGAGTGCTTGGTCAATAGAAAGTGGTTACTGGTATTTATATAATACCCTAGATAGGGTATAATAAGTATAATCAGAAGGCCATTACTAGACGATAAAAATGTTTGTATAATTTATCAATTTAAAAACTACAATTATTACCCTGGGACAATTATAATGATCCCAGTAAAACCGTAGTGTCAAACGAAATAAAAAAGCTCACTTCTTAGTACAAGAAAATATACCAACTCATTTCGAAATACCATTGAGCTATATTTGATCGATCGCTATAAATGTCCCATTACTAAAAATACTTACAAGAAACGTATAGTGGATACGCCCTTAACCTGAATAAATAAGTCGGAGGCCTGTAACTCATAAATAATGCATTTTACGTATTTGAAATAAGTCCGATACCTATAAGTATACCCGATACAAATATATTAATTACACATCTAAAATTTTCTCAGGTGCGGATCCAGCCATTTTGGAAAGGGGGTCAAAAACCCGGAACCAACCCCATGAATCCTCCAATGTTTCTTCGTGGGAGCAATGCCCGAGGCAGGAAATCCCAGAGGTGACTGTGGTATACAATTATTGTCATCCCTTTGACGGTTTTCATTCGGCAGTATAGTATTTGGTAAAGATCATCATGATTGTCCGTTTGACTGTGCGCGATACATAAAAAAAACATCAGGACGAAATGAGGACATTTATTCCATGTAAAGAGAGATTCCCACGGTGTCTACACGTTACCGAACTCTAGCATCAACTATAAGAAAGATCTGTGGGTTTACCTTTTATTAGATACAATTTGAGCCCCTATCCATTAAGATAATGGACTTAAATGCTGTTAAAGCAATTGCTGTCAGGTCAATGTTTTTGGTGACTTTTATTTTCCATACACATGTAAAAGAATTAAACCTGACATGAGTTATTATATATATTGAATCAATAAATTACTTATCCAGCAAAAAGTCATTTTTACAATATTTTACATTTACAAGGGGGACGACACGTTTACCAGCCTAACTGTGGAAGTAAATGTGTGTGTGGAAACATATAACTCACGAAGAAACCATAATAGAGTATCCCCTTATAGAGTTTTTATTACTGAGCAATAATTTACACGACAATCCACGCAACATCCAGGCTTCACTATCTTTATTGCTTTAATTTCAATTGTATCATAAGTGGGTTAAATTTAAGCATTCACAGGGGCGGATCAAACCATTTTCAAACGGGGGGTCCAAACCCAAGATAAATGGGGGGTTACAACTATATGTCCCCATTCAAATGCATTGATCGTCAAAAAGAGGGGGGGGGTTATTCCCCCGACCCCCTGGATCCGCCACTGATTCAGTTGATGATATCAACTTTATTGACGCGAATGTTCTACCGAAATGTAGGGGTTTTTTTTATAATAAGAATCATTCAATTAAACATACCGATTACAGAGTTTAAAGATGGGACCACCTTCTGAAATTTTCATGAATGCACGTTAACTGTCGATTAATCTTGGAACTGGCTTACGCTTTACCCCTTTCATCACTAAGGACAGTGTCTATTTTATTTTGTTGGTTTACGGATTTTTCACATGAAAAAGTCAGATCGGTCGGCAGGAAAGAAGACAATACATAAACAGGTAAAACTAAATTTATATTTCAGCTTACTAAGAATCTAACAATATTTTTGTAAAGCTACTTAGTCATCATTTCTTTAATCTTAGTGCCAAACACTATTGCTAAGTTGTTTTATACATGCAATATGTGCAATCGTCATACAATTTCGAAAAAGAGGTATCACGGACAAACATGAAATTAAATTGTCATTTCACGCACTAGAAAAAACAGCTCCACATAGCTTTTTATCAACTTTCAGGAAACATGGTGAATAATGATCTTCATGCTCGAAAACGTGTGACATAAAATTGCAAACACGCCGACTTTACCAGATCCGTGTCAAAAACGAAGTAGACTCGTCCACTGGAAAGACGAGGATATCGGTTTATCATTTGTCATGCATTCCCGTTTTTGATATCCAAAATGGACGAACTTTTTTTTTAATCTACGAAACAAGAAAATTCAAAATTGTTTGGGAATATATCTCATACTATTAACTTTGACGTTTGGACGGGTCCATTTCACTTATTAGATGATCGATAAATCTTACGGATTTATGACAAAAAAGGAAAACGAACTTTTGATATGTGTTTTAACACAGGTTTCGTTCCTCAAAATTATTTGCACAAACAAAATTACAAGGTCAGTTATGTTTGTCTATTTTTAGATACGTAAACAAGCAGGTAATCATTAGTTATTATAACATTTGAGACTGTCATTATATCATTTGCTTACAGAGTGGAGTCTATCAGTATCAACACCAATTCAGGAAAGCTTTAATAAATAAAAGGGCCCGTTATTTCATGGCAGTATTAAAACATGGTAAGATCAATTAGAACGCGTAAACTGTGCTACTTCTAATGCGAGATAGGATTACATTACTTTAACGTGCGTAGTGATTTTACGATAATTTTATGAATGAACAAGAGCAACACGAATTAAACAACATAAAACCATATAAGAGATAATTCAGTCAAATTTTCAATATTAAATCAACAACTAATATGATTCAATATTTTGCTGAAAAACCTCAAGAACAAAATCGCAGGTATAAAAATGCACTTTTTCACTCGTACTTCTATGTTCTTTGATAGTCAACGGTCGTCCCCTTTATGTTGAAACATCTCAAACCCACTAGTGTTTTTCAGTTGTTTCAATTAATGTATTGCATTAAAAAACATACATAGGAGTTTTAGAATGAAAGACCAGGAATCTGCTAAAAAAAACTTTGGATTTATCTGGGCAGAGTCTCTGATCTGGGTCACAAAGATGGCTATACGCCATAGCATGAAAGCTCTAAGACTTGAAATTTTGTGTATTTACTGCTTCTCCGCTACGCAAGCAACATTTCGAAGTACATTGTAAGTGCGCAGAATGATCGGCTCGAGGTGAGAACAATTTATCGGTAAAGGGTGCCAAGTCTTTCTTTAAACTATTATATCATAATCAGGTTAGTTTCATATTCATATCACATTGACAAATTTTTGACTTGATTACATGTTATATTTGCCACTGCACATTTAAAAACAATGCATCATCATCGTCATCACCAGCAGCAGCAGTATTCTCCTCCGGCTTTATTAATAAAATAATTAACATAATTGTGTAACTTAATTTATCTGGTCATCACATTTAATTTGTTTTAAATCGTTTACAATTTTCGCATCGAATTAAAACAATAGATGTTACCAAAACCTGAAACCGTTTAATTCCTTTTATCACACTTGTTTGCTTTTAAATAGTTCTGAGATTGATTGAGATTGTTTGTTGCTTAACGTCCAGTGGCAAATATTTCATGCATATTCAGGACGAGAACAAGTTCACAATAAATACAATCGGTAGGTTCTGTAATAAATTAAGGGATTAAGGTCGGAGAAATTTAGACTGCCACGGGAAATGAGGGTATATTGGATAAGGACAGAAATTAATCATTGCAACAGGTCACATACGGACCCATCAAAGAGTTGTAGCAAGGGTTCTTAACGTGCAAAGAGCGTGGCACTCTCTTTACACGATGCATCGGATTTAACGTCCCCATTCTGACCGGACGTGGCTGCAAATTTGTACATCCCGCACAGCCAAACGGACGCCCCACTTTAGCACGGGTTTTACTGCCGGTCGGAGGAAGACCAATGGTGACCATACTTCTATTCCCGAGTCACCCTTGGGGGCCAAATAGTTCTGAGAAAACCCTTTACTATTTTGTTTGCTCGTGTACATATGTATCCTCTTAGCATAGAGGGAAAAAGCGTAAATAATTAGAATTGTAATAACAAGTTACTTGTTTTTGTTCTTGAGTTGTTGCTGTCTCATTTTTAATATACTTAATATACTCTTTTCTACATTACCTGCTGGTGCGTTGTCCACGACTCTCAGATCACGTTTTCCTCCTTTTCCGATGTTACACTTCATTTCACGGCCATTGTCCCATACTACATCGCAGGAATTATCTTGACTGACAGCAATGATTGAGCCCACGTGACCTTCTCCTCCATCTTTGTCTCCATAATTCCAGTCTGGACCACGAACAACTCTAATGCCGACCGACATAGTTCACATAGACAAACCTGTTGATTATCAATAGCAGTATTAACGGAATTATCAATTTGTGAAAAATCTAATTTAAAAACCTGTTGCTAGATATACTTATAATACGGACAATCATTTCGACAAATTTAATTGAAGTCATATGCTATGTTCCCTAATTCCAACGCTAGTCTAACCATTAAACTTTCAGAGGCATTAGCTTTCAATGTCATGTTCTCTGATTTGACTCAAATTCACATATTTGATTTATAACATACTAAAACGTATATCCAAATTATAAAAACAAACAAACGGTCCTTCAATATACTAAAACTCAAGTCTAAAGCAAAATTGCTTATTTACAAATAAAATTCTACACTAAGATAACGTGATAAAAATTAAAATCTATTTAAATTTATACAACATTTTCATATTTTATAATATATTCCAACTTCTTTTAAGAATGAAACAATATTTGTAATTGGAACACTAGCAAATAAATCATACATATTATTGACATTGAAATGCTGCCTTCGAATATCAGCAAAATCAATACAATTAATTAAAACATGTTTAATGGTATACTCGCAATTTTCCTCGGAGATCGGTATTTTTGTTATTTTACTTTTTGCAATGTATACATTGTGGTTCATCCTTCAATCAACCGGAATAGACAGTTGAAAAATCTGAATATTTTGCCTTAAATTCAGCATTATGTTGAATTAAAAAATGGTTTGTTTCAGTTTTATTGTATTTACAGAGATCAAATATCATTTTCGATTTGGTAAGTTCCCATGGAGGGCATTTGCAAGTTTCAACTTAAGCAAAAGATTAAATCAAAAGTGGTTAAAAGTGGTTTTAAACGAATTCCTTAAGGAGGAATTTTATTTTCAGGTTTTGTAAATATATCTTCATCAATTGGATTAAAAACACAGCGACAAACGTCTGTTGGAGAGTGAGTGCTCATCAGCTTCTACGTACAGACTTTCAACTGGTGAGGTTTTAAAGGCGACAAGACAGAGACGCAAACCCTGGTGATGATAAGCATCGAGAATCTGATTCTAGGACTTTCTTGCAGAGCCATACACTATTGAGCCATAATCTAGTTGAGATCTAACTAGATATATGTATAAATAAAGTAAAATGTCGCGATCAGTACCCCAGTCAGTGCTTTTAACTTTTAAAATATTTAATGAGATTAAACATCTTGATTTTAACATATTGATATGGGGTAGAAAGGTTAACTTTTTATCAAAAACTAACCCAGGAATTTGGTTTCATCAACCATTTTAATAGGGTTTCCGTTAACGGTGACTTCTGGATCAAGATGGAATTTCCTTTTGTTACAAAAATGCATCCCAACCGTTTTTGATGTAGAAAATTTAAAACTATTTTCCGAGGCTCATTTTTTAATTCTTCCAAGACACAGTTGTAATTGTCGTTCTATGTTGTTCATATGTTTGCCTCTGTAACATATTAAACAAGAATGTTTCCATAGCCCACGGATGCCTCACACGCACTATAATTTTTTTATGTTCAGTTGACCGTGAAATTGGGGTCAAAACTCTAATTTGACATAAAAATTAGAAAGATCATATCATAGGGAGTATGTGTACTAAGTTTCAAGTTGATTGAACTTCAACTTCATCAAACACTACCTTGACCAAAAACTTTAACCTGAATCGGGACAGACGGATGAATGAACGGACGACGCAGACCGAAAAACATAACGCCCCTAAGTGGGGCATAAAACTCATCAACGTACAATGAACCTTCAATATTACTTTTCAAAACTTCAACAAGGCTGTTAGTTTTAAGACTAAAAAATGTAACAGATAAAATACTCCCCTGAGGGACACCCATCTTTTGATCATACAAATCAGACATGGTTGAATTTACTCTTACGTTAAATTGTTTATTAGACAGAAAATTCGAAATAAAATTTGGCATATTGCCTTTCAACCCCATATTAAAATGATCTTTTTAAATACCATACTTCCATGTAGTGTCATAGGCCTTTTCAAGATCGAAAAAAAGACTGACTCCACGTGTTCATTTTTGACAAAACCATTACGGACAAATGATTCGAATCGAACAAGATGATCAAGAGTACTGCGGCCTTGTCGGAATCCACACTGGATATTGGCTAATAGCCCATTTGATTCCAGGAACCAAGCAAGGCGATCACTGACCATCCGTTCTAATGTTTTACAGACATAACTGGTAAGAGCAATTGGTCGATAGTTAAAAGGATTCGTGTGATCTTTACTTGGTTTTGGAATAGACACGACGCTCGCAAGCTTCAAGATTGATGGCAAATCTTCAGATTCCCAGATGTTATTCATGAACTGCAAAAGAGCTTCCAGCAAAGTATCTGGCAAGTGTTTTAGTTGGTAGTGGATATTATCAGGCCTACAGGCTGTATCGTGGGCCTTTGACCAAGATGTTTCCTTTAAGTTCTTCCAGAGAAATGGGTTTATTATAATTTTCACCATTTTTCGATTTAACGTTCAACTTTATTTGAACCTATCGTTTTTTTTTTTTAACATTTTTTTAAAACTTCCCTGTAGTTGTTTGAAGAGGAAAATTTTGCAAAAGTTTAACCAAGCTTATTGGCAATATATTTTTCAGATGTTAATAAAATATTGCCATCTTTCAAATGTTTTTCCGTGGCTTTAGAAATTTTACCTTTTATCTTTTGTATCATGTTCCATGCTTTTGTCATCGGAGTGCGAGATGTTATCGCTGAGACAAATTTTTCCCAAGACGTCTGTCTTAGCGAGAAAAATACGGACATTACTTAAATTTTCCGTCGTAGGATGTTGATTTTTTACGGTCATCTATGGCTTGATTACAAGCGTCATCAAACCATGGTTTGCTGGGATGCTTCGGATTTGCCGAGGTCTTAGGAGTTGTTCTGTCAGCAATTGACGTTAAAACGGTGTTAAAAGTTAAAATTGGATCCTGTAGTCTCAAACATCTTTGACTGAAGTTCTGCTCGACAGAGATTCTCAAACAAAGTCCACCTTGTCCAGTTTCCAACGTGGAACTCCCTCTTGAACAGAGGTAAAAAGATGTTCAAGTATTATTTGGAAGTGATCACTTCCACAAAGATCATCATGGAGACGCCATGAATAATCCAGAAGATAGGACGGATCACAAATAGTGATATCAATAGCAGAATAAGACACGTTTGCAGGTTGAAGATAAGTTTTTGATCCATTAAAAGTCTTCAACGATCTTACATTTGGCATTATGAGACTTGCTCTCCCACAAGGAATTGTGGGCATTGGAGTCTCCCATAAGGATAAAGAGTGAAAGTAATTGATCAGTAAGGTTTTTGAGTTTAGCTTTATCTATATTTGAATTAGGTAGAATATATATAGAACATAATGTAATTCTTTTTTTTTTAACATATTTTTTTTTTTTAACATGATAATGATAAACGAATTGCAACTGCCTGCAGATCTGTGTTGAGTTGGACTGTGCTATGAATGACGTTGTCCTTCACAAAAATGGTTGATCTGCCTGCAGCACGTTCGTCTTCCTTAGAAAATGTGCTAAAGATGTTGTATCCTTTTAAAAATACATTGTCTCTCTCTTTTAGATGAGTTTCCTGAAGACAAGATGCAATAATTAAAAATGACTAAACTAGAAGCGTTAACTCCAGAAGATTTATTTTAAGACCTCGGCAATTCCATTGAATGATATCTGTCATGGTTTATGAATAGAATGACGAATGCTATCGAGTTTGCCAGAATTCTTATTTCGATTGTGATCTTTCGGGTATCACAACACTTTCGCATTTCATTTCTGATTCATCGTTAAGTGTGGCAAATCTATTTTGTGAGGAGAGTCGTCGATTTTCTTGACTAGACGCAGCTGATGTTACTCCACCTCGACCCCTACCTCGCGACCGCCTATCAGAAGCCTTCTGAGGGGACGGATTTGCTGGGGTTTTGGGGGACGTTCTGATGTTTTGGAGAACGAAGAGGAGACGGGGCTTTAGTAGACTGTTTACGACATGCAGAGATAAACTAGTAGACTTTTTATTTATGCAGATGTAGGAAGACAATTTACGACGGATGAATCATCTATGTCATCGGGAAGATCGCAGATAGATCCATTGCCCCAACTGCCTGATTTATCTACATCTTTTTTATTTGATTTCTTATCTTATTTTTTTTAGGGGATGCAATTGAGCTCTGTAAGGAAGATTGAGTTGACTGATTACTGGTTTTAGTAGAATTTGGTTTGTTTGGAGTTAGAATTTTATCAGATGATACAGTTTCAGTAGGCAACATTGTAAAAGTGTCAGCATCAATTAACAAGGTCATGCGACTTTGTGTAGACTCGTAACTGAATAAACGGCCAACTTTACTGTCATACGATGGTTTTTTATTAATCTGGAAGATCATATGAAACAAAAGCTATCTGTTAAGCTTCTGGGTAACTAATGTTTCTTTCTGTTTTGATTTTAATTTTAATTTTTGGTTTAAGGTAAACCTAGATGAAAAATGGGATTCACCAAAGTTTACACATTTAGAAGATTCAGAGGTACAGGTTGTTTCCTCGTATCCTTCGTCAGAACATTTTAAGCATTTCTGCCTACCACGGCATTGTTTGGTTTCATGACCAAACTTTTGACATTTGAAGCATCGAATTGGATTAGGGATAAACCTGTCAACTCTCATTCCGAAACATCCCAAGTTAATAGATGTAGGAGGAGTTGGAGTTCTAAAGGTTAAAAGATAAGTGTTTAGTTCGATTATAATTCCATTCTTTTTGGTTTGAAATCTAACATCAGTTACACCTTGGTTTGAAAGTTCTTCACAAATTTCTTCTACTGTAAGGTCAGCCAGATATTGACTTCTGTCTCGAATGATTCCTTTACAACTGTTCAAACTATTGTGGGGAGAGGGAGAAACAGTAAAATTGGTAATGATTTTTATTGTCAGCAAATTTATTGAATCGCTTTTGTTTGAATATTCAACCAACAAATTAATTTTCTGATCTCGTCTTTGAAACGTTTTTCACAGTG